CCAAAGCTTCTTTGTTTTTCTGTGAAGTCTCACCAAAGCTTCACAAATAAGTTGGTATGTGTGTGTGTCCCGTCCCCGTCCCCATTTTCACTGCCACATTCACAATCTCTCATGGCTCAGAATAGCACCAGGAGAGAGAAGAGGTGGGTAGCTGATTCTGCAATGCTTTGAATTATTCAGAGCAATACTCTTGTGTTGTAACCCACAACGTACAACACCCCTGTAATGTAGGACAGGTTGTCTGTTGATTCATGGTGACCCCATAAATTTCAAAGGGCTTTCTTAAGCAAGGAATCCTCAGAGATGGTTTTGCCAGCTTCTTCCTCTAAAACAGAAATTACAACACCAAGCATTACCTAGAGGTCCTCCATCCAAGTACACAACTCCCTTTTTACAACAATTTCACTGGCTTGCCACTCTCCGTTTCTGGGTACCATTCAAAGAGTAATGCCTCTGAAGAGCAGAGTTTTGGATGAATAGGGTACAGACACACATTTCAGCCACACAATCCCCAGCCTACAGCTTCTCTCTCCCTCTTTCCAAGTTTAATGTGTGAAAGTCAGGTACGCATCAGAGAGAGAGGAGCAGAAAGCAATTTTGCTAAATGCCTCAGCTTCCACCCTCATCAATCACTACTGGATTTTCAAAATTGCACACAGACACTTGATAGGTAAACAATATTTGTTAGTCAAATGCAACAATCAGTCCATTTGATAAATGTGGCTAAAGTATGTGAAATGCTCTGGCCACAATAAATGTGCTTTAGGGAGATGTTGACAACTTCAGAGTGCGCTGTGCATGTGCTGGGTGCCTGTAAGACCCCTTCCCGATACACATTTGTGGTGGGATACATTCCCTCAGATGTCAGAGGGCTTTCTAAGTCCCAGCACCACTAACAACCTCACTCCACACACACTGGCCTGATCCATCTCTCGGGGGTGGCACCTTTTCCCATCCCATCAAGTCCCAAAGGAAGGCGAGAAACATAAATAAAGGTGCACTTTTTATTCAGCAGTTTTATAAAGGAAGAGCGTTGGAACGGCCATCTTTTGGGAGAGCTTTGTGTCTTCCTGCGTGGCAGAATGGGGTTGGACTGGATGGCCCTTGGGGTCTCTCCTAATTCCATGATTCTGTGGGGGAAAGGTGTGCAGAAATAAGGCACTTTGACACTACTTTAACTGCCATTCTCTATCCTACAGAATCTTGAGATTTGTAGTCTGGCAAGGCTCCAGAGCTAACAGACAAGGGTGAATATGTCACCAAACTACAAATCCCAGGATTCTGTAGGATGGAGCTATGACAGCTGAAGTGGTCTCAAA